TTGTCGGTTTTCGCTTGTAAGTCTTCGATTTTGTGTGACATCAAACATAAATCATCCACGCGCGCAATCCAGGTCTTCTAGGTTCTTCACGTCGGTCCAGGATATCCCTGTCTTCTCGTTTCCCACTGTCTGACGCATAATGCAGTCCACCACAATTAGGAATATCATTGGTGATAATAAGCACCCTTGTCTGACTCCTGTGTTTACTCCAAACGCTTCGCTGAGTTTTCCGTTGTGGATCACTTGACATGTGCCGTTGTCGTACAGTTGTTGAATAAGGTTGATGAATATTTGGGGTACGCCGTAGTACTCGAGTAGTTTCCGAATTACTTCGCGGTCAACGCTGTCGAAGGCCTTCTCAAAGTCTATGAAGTTGAGATAGAGATTTGATTGCCATTCCATGCTTTGTTCGATGATAATGCGTAGAGTTGCAATTTGGTCAGAACATGATTTGCCTTTCCTGAATCCAGCTTGTTCTGGTCGGAGTTCTGTATCCAGTGCGTCCTTGATTCTCTCCAGGATGATGCGACTCAGGATTTTACTTGGCGTTGACAGGAGCATGATTCCTCGCCAGTTCTTGCAGAGTCCCAGGTCGCCCTTCTTTGGTAGTTTCACGAGGTAACCTTTCCTCCAGTCAGTAGGCACCTTTCCCTCTTTCCAGATCTTTTGCAATAATGGAGTCAGCATATCTGCCGTCGTTTCTGGGTCCGCTTTCAGTGCTTCTGGGGGTATTCCATCTGGTCCAGCTGCTTTTCCAGCTTTCAGAAGCTTGATTGCATTCATGACTTCAGTTTTCGTTGGAGGATTGGTGTCAACTTGCAGTTGTGTACGTGCTGTTGTTGGTATTTCTGGACGGGTTGCAGGTGGTGGTCGATTCAAGAGTCCTTTGAAGTGGTCTGCCCATTGTTTAATCTGTCTTTCTTCTTTGGTAATTGGGTTCCCTTGGCTGTCTTTTATAGGTTTCACTTGTGTTGATCTCTTCCCCGATAGAGACTTGGTTATCTGATATAGTGTCCTCAGGTCCCTTTTGCCTGCTGCCTTCTAAGCTTCAGTGGAAAGATTGTCGTAGAATTGTCTTTTGTCCTTCCTGGCACTCTTCTTCACTTCTTTGTCCAGTGCAGTGTAAGTTGAGTTCAGCGTCTCTTTCTCTTGTCCATCTTTACATTGAATCACTTTTTCTTTCACCTTTCTCCTCTCCTCTATTAGTTTCCAAGTGTCTGTTGAGAGCCATTCCTTGTCTTGTTTCTTCTTTCTTCCTAAAACCGTTGAGCACGTTTCGTTGAAAATTACCTTCAGAGAGTTCCAATGGTCTTCCACGGATGATTCCTCAGTGGTGCCACGTAGTGTTTCCTGCTTTGCTCTGACAGTTGCAGTGAAAGTGTCCTTTGTGGTTGTGTCTTTCAGTTTTTGCGTATTGAACTTGCATTGTGGCCTATCCCCAGGTATCCTCGAGGCTTTCAGCTTCACCTTGAAAGTCCCTTGTACCAGATAGTGGTCTGAACCCACATCTGCTCCTCTCCTCGATCTTGTGTCCAGTAGGCTCCGTCTCCACTTCCTTGAGATTGAAATGAAGTCTATCTGGTTTTTGGTGTGTCCATCTGGTGAAATCCATGTTGCCTTGTGTATATCCCTGTGTTTGAACACACTGCCACCAATCACCAAATCATTGAGGGCGCAGAAGTCTGAGAAGAGTTCACCATTTTCGTTCATTTCACCGAGGGCCTCACGACCCATGGCGAGTTCTCTTCCTGTATTGTCTCCTCCCAGTTTCGCATTCATGTCGCCCATCAGGATTTTGATATCGCTCTTTGGGACGTTGTCCATTACTGTTTGTAGTTGACTGTAGAAATCCTCCTTCTTCTCATGTTCTGAGGCGTTTGTAGGCGCGTAGCACTGAATGATTGTAACCTTCTTTCCTTTTGAGTTGAACCTGGCTGTCATTATCCTGGAGGAGATTGGTTCCCACTGCATGAGAGCTTTAGCCGCTGTTGGTGACATCATGATGGCTACTCCCTCGGTGTGCTCGTGATTGTCCTCTGGGTGACCGGAGTAGATTATTGTCTCTCCAGTTGATAGTTGGCTCCTTCCACATCCGTTCCATCTGCTCTCGCAGATTCCCAACACTTCTATTTTATATCTCCTCATTTCTACGGCTACCTGAGCAGCCTTCCCAGCTTCGTACATTGTACGAACATTCCACGTCCCCATCCTTATTTTCGCTTTCATCGAAAGAAGGCACATCGGCTGACTGGCTTCCCGAAGGCTTTCACCAGCCCGCGTCATTTCACTTCCCCGATTCCAGCGAGAAATAAGGTCACTATTTGTAATTTTAGAATTTTGAATATATTTGTGCGTTGAAGTTTTAGTAGCAATTTGGTTAAGTTTTGGGGGTGGAGTTGCTAGCACCACGCCCCAACCCTCCCTCTTTATCCGGGCTTGGGACCGGCTAGAATACTAGTGACCTAGTAATCTAGGCGAGGTTCTTTTCTTACATACTTTTCAAAAATGCATAATTTTATAACATTTCGCAGTATTTTTAACATAACGTAAGTTGATGGGTTACTTTGCAATATCTGATGCATACCATATGAAAATCGGTCGTGAAAATTTACCACGACTAGCTCTGTTAACCGGCTGTTTTTTCAGGATCATCATACATAATTTTATCACTAATTGTTCCACTACACATCTTACTCTGCTAAATTGACTACAAATTAGTTGCTGTAATACTAGCTATTTCTGCAATTTATGCTACCTAAAGTAAACGCAATTTTCTAGGCGTTTGTTACAAATACTTGAATAAATGTACGCATGTATAAAGGTGATACTGCTTAAAACGTCCTCAGGTATCGATGTAACTGGTGACATAATGGGAAGCACTTGCCATGAAAGCTATAAATGTGCAGTATACTTTAAGATTCAGACGGCCTCAAAGTAATGTAATGCAGCAACTACAGTTATTGCGAAAAATCTCAGAGCTTAACATCAACAAGGAGGGAGGGTGGCGCATGCTGATCAGCAGATATCGTAGTGGTCACAAGTGTGAATCGCTCCGCTCTGCAGAACATCTGATCTTAACTAGCTAGGTCTTTGTTGAAGCTAAAACTTACTCTTTGTTCATATTTGGTGCTTGCTTGAAGTCTGGTTGCTTTGATTAAAAACACAACAACACCAATGTTTGAACAAAGATATATTTTCATCGGAAACGTGATAGTTTCCATGCTTAGACCAATATGGTTGGCATTAAACATTGCAAATGTAAGCTATCATTTCAAGTACTTTATAGCTTCTTCTCCTTGCATTTATCTTGTAAATACACATCCAATAATGTATTATTCATAATTGCATTTTATACCATTTTGCAGCTGCGCAAAATTTTCTTCTTTTCCTGAAATAGCGTTCAATTACTTGGTAGTATCGAACACACCCAGATATACGCTGTTCACTGTTTGACCAAAATTATCAGCAGTAAACGGAATTAAGTTTCGGTTGTCGCTAAACTTTGATGGTGACCTTAGTAAATGGTTTACAATTTTGCATTTATAAGAACCTGTTCTGACTGCTTGCACAATTAATTGAACAATTTGAACTTTTGAAAAAGTATTAATTTATGGAACTTCAGGATTGTAATTTATAACATCACTGATCGTGCTTGTAAAATGGCATGCATTTCTTGTAAACTTACCCGTTTATACGAAATATAAATTATTATTATTATATTAAGTGGCGGGAAATCAGGCTCTTGTACATGCCAAGTAAAATACTAATAAGCGTCATCCTAGAGAGAACGAAAGATGGACTGGGTACAGAACTCCGCCACCCACCGACCACAACAAACTGGGTTCAGGAAAGCCAAATCATGTGCGGATCAAATTGCAACTCTACGCATCGTCATCACAGAACAAAGCATAGAATGGCAGTCAAACCTCTCTCCACCTCAACTTCGTCGACTTCGAAAAGGTCTTCGACAGACAGCGTTGACCGAGAAGTAATTTGGAAACTGCTTCAACACTGTGGTATGCAGTGCCCAAGTCTTTATCAACCTCATTTAACAGCTGGCGATATAAAAATGCCACTTGTCAGGTGATCCACAACGAAAAACTCAGTAAGGCGTTCGAAGAACATATAGGGGTAAGGCAAGGCTGCCTGCCTATTATCACCAACGATGAAAATCTCAATTGTGGTAGACTGGATTATGCGCCAGACTGTGCAGAGGAGGTGAGAAGATAGGAATATGCTGGACCACCGATAGGAAGACTCTGGAAGATCTAGATTTCGCGTGTGGATGATACATGTCTAATGTCACACAAACTCGAACACTTACAGGTGAAAACCAATAAATTGGCAGAATAAGATGGCAGGCAGCGAAGAAAGGACTGCAGGTTGAGATAGAGAAGTCGGAGATGATGAAGATAACCAACGAACCACAACAACAACAACCAGCACCAATCACTATTAATGGGAAAGATTTAATGGAGGTTAGCTTCTTCAGTTATCCAGGAAGCATCGTTTCAAATACATGCCTAGTGGATGAAAATGTCAGAGCCACGCAGAATCGGAAATGTGATATATGCCTTCATCAACCTGAAACCAGTTTGAAAATCTTCTGCACTGACTCAGCCAGAGTAAATAACAAGATTCGGATTTTCAACACCAATGTCAAGTCAGTCAGTCAATTCTTCAATATGGGTTAGAAACTTGACCAGCGTGTCACGAAAAAGATTTCCAACAGACTGCAGATATTCATCAACAGCTGCCACCTTCGCTGGCTCCATACTGAAAATCAAGTGGCCAGCTGGTCAAAAAGAATAAGCAACAAGGAACTCTGGCTGGGAACAAATCAGTCAAGAACCTAATGCTCAACAAATATGTAAGAGAAAATGGAGATGGATCGGGCGCACATTGAGGAGGCCGTCGAATGACATCGCGCGCAATGCAGGCCATTGATCGAGTGGAATCCAAGTGGGATGCTACGAGATGGTCGTCAGTGCGAGGGTGACATGGAGGAGATCGAGTGAGTTGGAGGATGAAATGAGGGATTGTGGGCAATCGTAGTCCAAGCTGAAGAGGACGACAGAAGATAGTAAAAAGCGGAGAGATTTTGTTGAAGCTCTATATTCCACTTGGAATTCAATGGAATAATAATAATGCAAAAGCTCGTAGAAGCGATATTGGATATTAGGTTTATGCGGAAGGCGCGGAATTGAGTTTTGAGGTCACACAGATCGATGGCTTCTCGGGTGGGTCACAGGCCGGAGGGCACGGATGGCGCGGATTTCCGTCACAGAGAACGAGTTTGTGCTCAGTACAGCCAGAGGTATGTTTCTACTTCCATGTCAGCATCTTTCTCCAGCCCTCTGTTGAAACGTCGTATAAAATTCGTTTATATCTTACACTTCATGTTATGGATACTCATGTTTGCGAGACTGTTCCCCGAATTATGTTTAAGAATGGGATTTAGAGCAAGACTTATGGTAGAAAAGGTAATGGAAATTAAAATATCTTGATTTCAAAATGTAGTGGCCGTTCCCTCAGGGCGAATTATGGGAATATGTATGGTGCTTTGGCAGTATAATCCCTACATTGTTTGGATATATTTCACTGGGAAGAAGCCGAGCAGGGCTAATGCGAATTTCGTTGACGGGAACTGTTGTTTTCGGTCTTGGGTCTGTAACGGTTGGTTGTTTCATGAACGCATTCGAATTAATGAACTACTACCAAACTCGAGTGGCCAAACACTACTTTTATGACTTTCCTGTGATTGTTTTAGCCTACATATTCTTCTCTCTGTGTGTCCAGGTGCATGGATTCGCTGTATATTTCGGGTACAAACTCTATTCCATATGGTCTGTTAATACACGGAAAGTGCGGTGATATTTTTTTTTGACAAATGAATATGTTTACCTTTTTTGTCTTTTATGTCCTTTATACTTGTGACTGCTATATTACTTTTAAGATAAACTAATTGTTAAAGTACTAATTTAGTAAAGTCGAATCATTGTGTATAGCAAATTATTGCAAATACAATACGACTGTATTTTTTCCAATAAGGTTTTCTACATCTGCTCTAGATATGAAGTGGATTATGAATATCCATTAGGAAGAAATCAGGAGAAGCAGCATTGTGCCTTCTGACTGAAAATATTTCTCAACAAGATCCTTGGAATTTATTTCAGTTTTGTAGCCTTACTCAGTGGTTTTCAGCATAAGCATTATAATCTGAAGCGTTTATTATTATACTGCATTCATCTTAGTCATAAGATTCATAACTTTCCCTGCTGGTTAGGTCTTACTATTTTTCGAATAAGTTTTGTAAGCACTTTGAATAACGGACTCTGCTTAAGGCATATACTGTTGATGAGTCGTTTTCGAAGAAATCATTTGATTAGACGTTGGTGATAGTGTTATGTTGAATATTCTTACATTTCCGCTGCAGTTTTGACAGGGCTGTTGGGAGATAAAATCAGTTCAAATTGTTTCGTGGAAACTTATCAGGAACGGCAACACAACGTAAGTAAAATTAATAGACAGCAACGTAAAGATGTTCAACACCTTTTGCGTCATTTCTAGTTTTTAGTTTTCCATTTACCATCATACGTGAAGTTTGACATCGTTTATATTTTTTAAGCTACTTAAGAGGGTTTCTAACGCAAGTGTTACAAAATTTGGCCAAGTTGTGGGGGATATTTGATTGTAGAGTCTTCATTAACAAACTTCATTTTCAGGCATAAAAGACATCTGTGGTACTTATCTTTGTGGACTTTCTTTCGGTAGGTCAGTAATGAAATTCTAAATCATTTTAAACAGTTTGTAGATTGGATTTCAGAGCATGTCACAGTTTCAAACAGTATCATAGTAGTATCATCTTATGCGATGTTGAACGGCATCTTAATCAGTTGCACTTGTTCATACTGAGATTGTGCTTTCTCTTTCCATTACCTGTTTATTGTTTATGGTTTTGTATATTCAACGAAGCCTAACGTAGTTACTGTTAATTGTAATGTCTGTTTAGTTCCTACTTAAATTTAAGTATAGTAGCAGAGTAATCGGATTCCTTTCCATAAATCCTTATCATAAATTTTGTGATTTTTTCGTTTATATCACTATAATATTGTTTACGTTGCGTTCCATCTGGTGTCTTTCTTGTCAAAAGTCAAGTGGAAATACAAATTTTCTATATGGCATTCATTTTTGTCCTTCTTAAATTCTACAAAGCTAATTTCTGTTGCTATAAGTCCGTTATTCGAGAACCGTCGCAGGTTTGGTGATTCTCGCATACGAACATTCAGTTATTCTGAACCTATTAAATCATCACAGGAAAAGCAAAATGTTGAGTGTATATATTAGCATTGTTGCCAATTTAGAAACGGTGTGAATTATGTGCTACCCATCAGAGTAACAACCACTATGAAACAATTTGTAAATTTTTTTATAGAGGATGCATTAGTCTTATTTCAGCGGTTAGTTGGCACAACCGAGAAGGTAGGGAAATTGTCCAAATGTCAGATAGATTATGGTTATGACGAACTTCACTATTTCGTTCGATGTTCTCTTTGTATTGACAAATAAATTTGTAAGAAGAGCTAAAAATGGTCACGTTTTCATTAATATTATAAGTCTGTTAAGGGGATCGGTTTGTGTTTGTTTCTAATGGATTGTTAGTAAAATACAGTTTACGTCTAGATACATCTAAACATCTTTTCCAAGTGTGTTGTAGTTTATTACTTTTGCCAAAGATTGGGTATCAATATCGCATTTAACTGTATTCTCTCTTCCACTTATACTGGAACGCCTCGTTCTAGAATTATTTTGATGGTAAATGACAGAATATTTTTTAGGGTTTCATCTTGACAAGTAATGAATTTATTTATATTTAGTAACTAAATACATTTGTACGCCTTTCTTTCGCTAAACTATCCTTTTTTTGTAAAAAGTTTCAGTTTATTGGAGACAGAGATCCTTTAAGCATCCATATGAGGTAGAAATGTATACCTAACAGTTCATTAGTTATTGAATGGAGCAGTTTTTATCAAAGTGTTTCTTTTCAACATCATTACCATATGCCTACTTAGCCCTATATTTCTCAATAAATTATTTTACTGCTGCAGAACTGTTAAGCCAAGTTATACATCTTGGAAAAGGGAGTTCAATGTAAGCAAAATAAATTTCACGGTTGTCGAGAAAAGAAGAGATAATGGATGTTATTCACTTTTATTAAAATTTTGAATTTATAGCAATAATGACAAAATAAGATATTGTTGGGGTGCAGATAAAGAAGAGACTTGTATAGATTTCTGTATAACACGAGGACTAGGTTATTGATTGAACATTCGTTAAGTTTTAACTTCATATCAAAGGTAAATGCTCATATCCTTAGAGCAGTCCAATTTTTTTAGAATAATTTAGAAAATTCATAAAGTGCGAATTAACAGGCCTTTATGACGATGTCGTCTGCTCGATCTTGGTATCTTTTACAAACACTGATATTTGACGTTGGCTCTTCTGAATGTGTTTGCTTTGTTTAACGTTGTAAGTCACCAAATCCTTAAAGGTAATTTTACTTTTGGTGTAGAATGTTCGAAAAATCAAGTCAGTTGTAGAAGTAGTAAGTTAACGCATTTGAACGGATCAAAATGACACCACTGTTTCGTTGAATTCATAATCTAATTGTGAAAGCGTTCAAAAGTAGTAGAGGACCTTAAGTTTGTTTTCTAGTTTCGACTGAATTATGCGGAACAGATTTTTTATTTTATATGCTATGAGCTTCACTCGTTGTGTAAGCGCTGATTATACTCGACCCATTTGCTCATGCTGAGGTAGGTGGAGCCATACGCCAACCTGTTGGTCTTAAGCCCGTGAACCGTAGGCGTCGGTGGCACAGTGGTTAGGACTCTCGCCGACCATGCACATGGTCCTGGGTTCGATCCCTTGCCGACGCTCACCCGATATCTATGGTCGGCCTGCAAAATTTGGGCTACCGATATGCATGCTGAAAATTCCATACTTGTACTGAAAATACGGTGTGGCATCAAGCTGTAATCAAATTAAAAATTAATTAAAGATTTTAGACCCCTTGACCGTTACCATTATCATGAGGGATTTTTCGGTGTTTAACGAATCTTTGAACTGTCAGGACGATATTAATGTAATGTGTATTGTGAAGATTGCTGTGTGGAATATCATGGCCATATACACAGTGGTCAAGCATTCCAGAAAGGAAATGTCAGCTATAAATATAAATTCAGTGGCCAGTGAGCCATTACTACAATGTTGGTTAGGGTTGTTATTAAATTAGACATTCCTGGTGGAACATAGGGCTTTAAAGACACATCTCCGTCGCATTCGGTTCTTTCATCACTTTCAACCGGTTCCATGACTTTACAAGTTTTCGTATAATCTCCATGTCACCCTTGCTCTTCCAACCCATTTGCGTTTTACTAGAGAGTTTACCTGGTGTGTGATAACACGTGAATGTCTCCTTAGTGGATGTCCAGTCCATCTCTACTTACTTACTGCAATTGATTTATGGCTGGTTCTCTGAAATGGTTCCTTACTGCTTATCCTTTCCACTTGGCTAATCGATCTTCAGTATTGAGACAGCAAAGATAGCCTCTGATGGAAGTCATCAGTAACCGGTTGGGAATACTTTTGGTGACGCTCATGCCGAGTCTCTGAACTATATAGACTCACTGACTAACCTGACATTATTATTGAAAATTAGGATATTGCTTATTGTGTTGAGTGATATAGGTCTACAGGCTGGTTTCAGAGTTAATGAACGCCTATGCTGCCTTCCCGATCCAATCCTGGTTGGCTGTAACATGTCTGTCTGTCTGTTTTCGACATAGAACTTTGCACATATGTGCGGCAGTTCAAGTCGCCACACTCCATGTAGCACACAAAGAAAGAGAAGAAAGTAGGAGAAATGCATAATAAAGACAGTAAACAGAGGTGTGAGACAAAGGAGTAGTAATAACGAAGAACGAACAGTTTCATCGGAAATCATAAGTTACAAGGAGTGGATGCATCTGCGCCACTGAGAACGATTTTGAGCCATGTCACCAATTGTTTCCGACCATTGGTTTTTACCGTCCCGAGGACTCCAACCAGGAAGTCTACATCTCCCTACGTGACTTAGACTAACTGTTGTGGATTCCATTGACTGGTGCCAAGTTTTTGTTTGACCGCCGCTAGCTCTTTTCGAGCCTGATCCTATGTTAGTCAGCTAACATTGACCGTCGAGGAAGGCGATGACTAGGCATACGTAACACATGTCCTAACCATCTCAGTCGATGTAATTTCACAGTCTCATCGATTGATTTCCCCGCCTTACCTAGTACTCGACGCCTAACCTCAATATTGCTCACCTTATTATACCACTTCACGCGGGAGATGGAACGCAGACACCTATGATCGAAGACAGCTAATCTTTTCATGTCTTCTGCTCTCAATGGCCAGGTCTCACAGCCATAAAGGAGGACGGAGCGGACTGTTGAGCAGTACACACGCCCTTTGGTCGATAGTCGGATATCACGTCTACGCCAGAGACGGCGTAAACTGGCGTATGCAAACCTAGCCCTCTGTATTCGTGCTGAGATTTCGTCAGCGATCAACCCGTTGGGGCTGATGGTACTTCCCAAGTATTTGAAGCGGTCAACGTGCTCTACCACTTCACTTCCTATTTCTAATCTAGGGGTCGGTGAAGTCCAATCCTGCAGCAACATCTTACATTTTACAGGGGCGAATCGCATGCCAAACATTCTTAGATTGCAGCTCAAGGTGTCCAGTAGACTCTGCATTTTGTCAGAGTCCTCGTCTAGAAGGACTATATCGTCCGCATATTCTAAGTCAGCGAAATTATTCCCTGGTAGCAAGTCAATCCCTGAGTCGCTGAAGTGAGTTAGGGTTAAGTCCATTAGTACATCTATGATGAAGTTGAATAGGAATGGGGATAATGGACATCCTTGACAGTCACCACTTCAGATGACAACTCGCCATAAGCCCTCACCTGGCTGGATGAGTACGAGTAGAGTGCCTTAATCAGTGCAATGTATTTTCTTGGCATTCCCTTTACAGCCAAGCATCACCAGAGAACCTCTCGGTCGACAGAATTGAATGCCGCCTTTAGATCATGAAATATAATGATTTTTGGACGCCGGTGGTGAATATGCCTGTGTTCTAGAATCGGTCAAAGGGTGAAGATATGATCAATACACCCTCTACCTGGCCTAAAACCTGCCTGGTTTTCTCGTGTTTTTGTCTCCCGAGCACCACTTAGTCTACGCAGTTTTATTGAGCCTAGGATTTTGGATACTATATTAGTCAAGCTAATGCCTCTGTGATTATCACAAGAAGACTTGTCTCCCTTCTTGTATATGGGGGTGGATAATCAGTGACTTACACTGTAACATCCTCATGTATGTCTCTTGTAGCTGAAATGATAATGTCCAGGTCAGGCAATTGAAATAAAACCCACTCTAAAGTCCTCCTATTGATGAATTAGATTAAATAAATTTCCCTCGCTGGGAGGCGTCTTTCATATCTTAGCAACTGCGTCGGTGGCATAGCGGCTAGGACTCTCGCCGACCATGCACATGGTCGCTGACGCACACCCGATATCAATGGTCGGCTTGCTGAATTTGGGCTACCGATATCACATGCTGAAAATTCCATACTTGTACCGAAAATACGGTGTGGAGTCAATCGGCACTTTCCAGATATTTGGGAAATTCAGTAATTTCCACCTGTAGAGGAATTAGAGCGGATTCTCAAAGTTGTATTGTGCGTCGGTGGCACAGTGGTTAGGACTCTCGCCGACCATGCACATGGTCCGGGGTTCGAACCCCTGCCGGCGCACACCCGATATCTATGGTATGCCTGAATTTGGGCAACCGATATCCATGCTGAAAGTTCCACACTTGTACTGAAAATACGGTGTGGAAATCAAGCTGTAAATCAAAAAATCAAAAAAAAAAAAAATATGAAACACAAACTTCTTACTGTAACCTTTTCAATATCGCAATAGAACCAAATTCTGTGATTCATTCCAGTGAGGCGTTCCTCATCATGAAGTACGTACTTGTAATGTAGCCCAATGTGACTCGGTATGGGTACAATTTTTTTAAAGAAAGCAATAAAGCTATCTCCCTGATAGGTACTTCTAGCAAGTAGACGGATTGTTTGCAAACTTAGGTAGTTTATTTAATAATTCTCTTTTAATTTCATTGTGCATGTTTTATTTATGTTGGATAATGTAATGAAAATACATGACAAGAAGTTACGAAACGAGATCTCTTTGTTGACTTACGAGTCCTTAAATATATTTCTATTATATCTTCTATTACTTCCATATGCATACTTGTTTATATTTAGTATCCCTATGTAGTTATCTACTCAAAAGTAGTATATTATTTCAGACAAAAAATATGAAAGTCTTAACCACCACGGGATATACAGACTTGGATGAAACCTAAACAGAAATCATTTTCATTCTGTGTAATGAATCAACGAAAATAATTTGATTATGATTGATGGAAACTATTTTCTTACCATGAAATGTGATAGCTGGAAAATAGAATCATCACTTGTGATTAGCATAAGTTGGTATATGATATACATACTGGTGTTTATATCATATTTCATTGGAAACATGTACTTGAATAAGTGCTATGTACTTATATAAGTAAGGGAATATTCACATTTAATCCTCTCGGTACACATTGTTTTCCTTCCTGGCATTTGTTTTGTTTTTAGCTGTGGATCTCACTTCATACTAGATTGAATCTAACCAACAGATTATCTGTTATTACATCTTTACATAAATTTGAGATTTTGTACATGGTTATTTTGTTAGCTTAAATAACAAAGTAAAGGCATCTCTACTCTTTATAATCATTCGCGATAAAGTTAATTGGTCACCGTTTACTTGGATGTTTACTTCTCTTTCGAACTACATAACGATAAAATCCTGCTGACTAACGGAGTCCTAAATATAGAAATTTGCACAAAAAGTCCAGCAGCTCAGCGGGAGAAAGAATTAGTAAATGGGGAGTAGTGCAAATTTAATGGATTTGTGAGTTCATGAAGAATAAATGTATTTGCACCAATGAACCATTTCACCAAGGGTTTCCACTCATCGATCCCAGCATCTCGACAACCCCAGCCAGGCAGCCTATATCACCCTATGTGGCTTACTGAAACTAACAGTCAAAGATTTCACAGACTGATGCCACTTTTCGAATCGACCATCCTTCATTCCCTCCCACTCTAATATTATATTACCCAGCACTGGTTGACGAGGAAGGTGATGG